TGTCTATCACCACACACCAAAATTAACTCAAAATGAATTAAGGACCTGAATATGACCTGAAACAATAAACTGCATAGAAGAAAACATAGGAACTAAACTCAAGAACCTTGGACTTAAAGAGGATTTTGTGAATTTGACCCCAAAGGCAAGGGAAATAAAAGCAAAAATCAATGAATGGAATTACATCAAACTACAAAGCTTCTGCACAACAAAAGAAACTGTCAACAAAGTAAAGAATGGAAAAATATATTTGCAAGTAACGCCTCTGATAAGGGCCTAATATCCAAAATATACAAATAACTCATACAACTCAATAACAAACAAACAAACAAAAACAACTATCCAGTCAAAAAATGGGCAGAAGACCTGAACAGACATTTCTCGCCAATAGTCATACAAATGGCTAACAAAACATATAAAAAGATGCTCATCATCACTAGCTATTAGGGCAATGCAAATAAAAACCACAATGAGATACCATCTCACACCTGTTAGAATAGTTGTAATCAACAGGACAATTAATAACAAATGTTGGAGATGAAGAGAAAAAGGAACCCTCATACACTGCTGGTGAGACTCTAAATTGGCACAGCCACTATGGAAGAGTGTGGAGGTTTCTGAAAAACTAAGAATTGATCTACCATATGATCCAGCAATCCCTCTATTGGGTATTTACCCCCAAGACTTGAAAACTCATATCCGTAAAGATATTTGCACACTGATGTCCATAGCAGCATTATTCACAGGGCCAGGACATGGAAGTACCTGAAGTGTCCTACGATAGATGATTAAATGCAGAAGTAGTGGTACATATATACAATGGAATATTACTCAACCATAAGAAGAGATGAAATACTGCCATTTGTGACAACCTGGATCTATCTCAAGATAATCATGCTAAGCAAAATAAGCCAGACAGAAAAAGTGGAAAATCACACGATATCACTTATATGTGGGATATAAACCTCAATGCAACAAATGAACAGGACAAACAAATGGAGATTCATGGACATGGACAATAGACTATTGGTTACCAGAAAGTAGAGTGAGAGAGGGGAGGTGGAGAGAGCAGGGTAAAGGGGGTAAAAGGAGTCATATATATGGTGACAGAAAGAAATCTAAATATGGGATGTGAACACACAATGCAATATATATATGCTTTACTGTTAAATTGTACACCTGAAACGTAACTGGATTTCGTTAACCAATGTCACCCAAAATAAATAAATAAAATTAAGCTGAAATTGTAAAAAAAATAAGATAAAGGTTTTAAAACACTTGACTAAATAGTATCATAGGTCATTATGAAACTACACTTAATTATTCATTTAACCAAAGTAACAATAAAAGATTCAAAGAAAAATTCAAAAGGTTACATAATCATTAGCAAAACTTTGTTCTCACTATTGAATGATTCAGTTTCCTTAAGTAATCAAGAACCTGATTAAGACAACATAAAACAGAATATTATGTTGATAAAAAATAGAATCTGTTTTCTCAGTAGAAAACTTTTCACTATATCTTATCAAGATCAGACCAATAATCCATAAAAACTTTATCCTTTTAACAGAGGGAAAACCAAACTTTAATTTTGCATCAGCTTACTTTTGATATTTAAATTTACTTAATTAAATTCATGCCAATCTTACTTAGCTTGACCACACATAAACTTTCCTTTCTCAAGTATCCTTTTCATAAACCTTATACTTTCCCTGTCTTTTCTAGTTTATTTCTTGTTCTCTTACTTGTTCAGAAATAATCAACTTATTTTGGACATATCATTTTCTTACAATTTCCCTCAAAACATGTATCTCTATACCTTATAACTTCCATTACTGAAAACGCACCCTACTTTTCTTGCATTCAAAGTTGATTTTCTTATTATTCCTAGTAGTTTCAGTTACATATATTGGAATTTTTAACCCCTAAAAACCTCAGATGAAATCTAAGTAACTGAACTGTTGAAACCAAAAGCAAACCATAACAGAATGGATATACTAGAATTAACTTTTAGTTAAAAGTATTAAATTAGCTCTTTTAAGAGTCTTAGTTGCCCTAGAATGTAGTCATGTGAGGCCTGGAGGCCTGTCTTGAAAGCAAATTTCAGGAAAGAATATGTAAGTATACTTTGCTTAAGATAGAAGAATGTAGCCTATTAAGCACAGACATATAGCTCTGCTTTTTTTCTTGCTCTTAAGATAACATCACTGACTCATACTCCCAAGATGTCCTGCAGAAATCTGTAAGCTAGAAAGACCACCTGTCTCTAGTCATGAAGACTCTGGACAGGATGGCACCAAGACCTAAATACATGAAATTGAGAAGATACGTACTGAAGCTTGCACAAGAGCTGACCAATCAACACAGCCCACAACTCTGAACCCCCTTACTCGTGCTTACTCATGATTTTTGCATTTAAAAGCCCCTGATTGTAAGCCATCGGGGAGTCCAGTGTTTTGAGTGATAGCTTCCAGTTCTCCTTGCATGGTGCCCTGCAATAAAATGACCTTCATTCCTCCCTTGTGATTCTTGGTGTTCACTGTTTGGCTATGCTGTGCATTGGGCAAATGAACTCTCTTATCTATAACTTCCATTATGACTTAACAAGTTTTGGTTTTACAATACTGGGCAGGGGAAATGTTCCCCATCCAGACGTAATATCCATTAATATTTAAGCACTCAGGTAAAGTTGACATAACTTTTTTACTAATACCTGCTTAAACAATCCAACTTTCATAATCTTATTAACCATACATATTTATGTTCTCTCAATCTAATTGTAGCTCAAGTCAGGGCTTCACCATTGGGTTTGGGTTCCCAGGCCCTTTTGTCAATCTTTAACTTGATTAATTGGCCTAACAGCTTCCCCCAGCAATTACTAGTCAAGTTTCTCATTGTAGTTTTGCCTTCTGGCTTTTTAAATTGTGGTAAATAGATCTGACTTGTTTGAGACCCTTTAATGTTGGGGGACCAAAAGGGGGTCTCTTTGCCTGCCCAACCTTAGGCAGTGCTCTATTAAAACCTTTTTTAAACCCCATCAATGTCTACTTTATTTATCCCATTTCTTAATAACCATCTAAAGATTTCCGATATCATGGGATGAGTCCTGTGAATATTTCTTTTCTGTTTTCTATTTCTTTTGATCCTATCAATAGTTGCATTATTGACGTTATTTCTTAATGACATTTGAAAAAAATTCCAAGAGTCTCTTGACTCTCCCCTTGGCTTCTTCCCAGTCTCTTCTTAATTAACCTAATGCTTTTATCAGTATCTGGAAGACCCATGAGGGGAATCTGAGGCAGCAAATTCAATAAGGCTTCTCCACCTCATTTTTGTAAGGCTAGTCATTATATTTCTTTCTATCCACTTTTGAAATTTGGTCTTTCTATAGGTAGCAAACAGCTGTTATAATAAGTGCTCTCAAAAGTTTTCCACGTTAGAAGTTTTTCCAATTCAAAGAATCCATCATCTGGCCATTTGACAAGTAGGATCTATTAATCTCAATAGCACCTGAAACCAATAAGCTTTTTTATCTTAGCCAGGGAAGCAAGATGGGTTCACTAGAGAGTGCAAAGGATGCAGCCCTCACAAGATCCACAAGCTCACTGCTAGAGTCATCTAAGACAGTAAAAGCCCTTCATTATTACAGGTGAGAAAGCAACAAAAGTTGAGAAGTCAAAGGCTCCTTATGGATGGCACTCCTCATGGCAAATTCCCCTGTGAGCTAGCAAGGTCACACAAAAAGGTGAAAAGATGCCAGTCAAAGGGCTACAGCTGCCTAGTCGCAAGCCCCAGGTATTCCTGTGCTTTTATCCTACTGGATACAGCTGCCCAGAATTCCCAGCCTACCTGACTGGCTATGAAATGCACACTGATACGTGGCCTTCCTGATGGCAGAAACCAAAGAGGAGATCAAAGCCAATTTCTTAAAACATAGAACAGGGCAAACAACATAGACCAAGAAAAACAATGACCATCTCAGGGAGAAATGGGATCAACAGTACCAGAGTCCTTTGCCCAGGAAACTAGTTTCACCAAATTTACTCCTGCTAGTCTACATTTAGAAAGAGAATAAATGATTCTCACTACTTTCACTTTCACCAGATCCCACAGAGATCTGAGGGTGTGCTGACATGGCAAAAACTCTTACCACTGCCAGCCTTTCAGATGCCCCAGGATCCCTTCATCTGCAGCAGTCCCAAAGCAAACAGTCTCCAGCCAGAAAAGTCACTTGGCTGACTTGCCAAACTTGCATGTAGAAAAGATAATTTTCCTTCTACTGTTCTAAGTTCTTCTGGCTGGACTAATATTCAAATAAACGTGACAAAAATGATGGGAGAAAAATGACCAAATCTAGTAATATGGGAGTTCCATGAGAATATGAAACTAGACGGATAGGGCAGTTAAGGCTATTATGTCACCTTAATCTAAAACTTGGTTGTGGTTTGGGACCTCAAAGAGCAGGGAAGCAATTCACGTGGAGATGGAAAAGCAACTATTTGGTAAATAAATGTTTGTTAGGTCATCTTTAACAATGGGACACAGAAGACTTGCTAGGTCTCTCCCTGTCTTGCACACTAGTTCATATTAAACTATATATTTGGAGCAGGTCCTCTATCTAAATCCTTTTAGGGAGGTGAAAGGTTCTTCCTGAGTCTTTTTCTTAAAAATAACCAGCTTAAAATAACCAATATCCCAAAAGACATATTTTGGGGTGGCAACTTCAGCTCACCTTAGAATTAGTGATAGACAATACAAGTTGTTCCCCTCGTGAGATAAACTTTGGATAATATCAGGTGTATGTGAGGAACACAATGTGAAGTACAGCACGAAGCACCTATCTTTTGATCAGAAAAACACTAAACTTGCAATATTATTCATTTTATTTACAAATAGAGGCCCCGAGACATCTACAGTTCCAGAACTCCCGGCAAAAAGCAGGTAACTGCTTTGCATGCCGGGATTTGCAGTCCGCCAAAGAGTCGCTCTATCAAGATGGCGGAGTTGCTAATGACGTATGGAGAGCGGCCCCAGGGGAGTCTGGGCCGTGAGGGGATTGGGCGGTGCAGGGATACGGAAGGCCCGAATCTAAGGCCAGGTGTTAAAACCTCTCCTCGAAAGGAAGCTGGCCGCTCTGAAATATCGCGAGATCCCAACGAGGCCCAATGGAACGCGGGGCCGGCCTATCACTAAGGGCGTCAGTTGGGGGCGGAGCTGTGACGGGAGCGAGCGGGGAGTTGTAGGTACCGGCAGTAGCGGCTTTCGGGCCGAACTTCGAGTGGCCATGAAGGAGGAGAAGGACCATAGACCTAAGGAGAAACGAGTAACCCTGTTGACTCCCCCCGGGGCCACAGGTAGCGGCGGTGGGGCTTCGGGGGACAGCACCAAAGGAGAAGATAAGCAGGATCGGAACAAGGAGAAGAAAGAGGCGCTGAGCAAGGTGCTTGACTGGTTGCTGGCTGGTGAAAGGGCGGGATGCGTCTGCATTTGGGAATGGGGCTGCCTTCTTCCTCTGCCAGTCTCCCCTTCTGATTCTTCACCTGTGGTAAAATCGTATCACACTGTCTCATCTGTTCGACCGAAAAGGGGGGCCCCTCACGGCTAAGCTCCAGGGTGGGAGTGGCGGAGAAGGGGGCTACCAGACAAGAAAGATTTAGGTCAGAGCTGTGAGATGATAATGGGAGAGGGTAACGATAATAAAGAGAATGAAGAATTAAAACATTAATTGGGGGAATTATTGAACAGTGAAGGGGCGGGCTATCAGGGGTGGGAGTGGTTTGTGGTAGAAGTATTAATGAAGACAAGTTGAGGGAGTGGGGGAGTTAATGGTCTGGGGGCCAGATTTGGAACGATGAGGGAATTTGGGGTATTCATTAGAGTTTTGAATTCTTTATGCTAAATGAGGAAGAGTTTCGTTGTTGGATAGGGAAATAATAAATCAAGAGTTCGTGGTTTTTATAAGTGATCTCATCTTTTAAAGTCCAGCTTTCTTTAGGGATGGTGATTCAGATATGACAGAAAATTGATTTGTACTAATTTGATTTTGCTCATTTCTGAAGGTGGTAATTCGAAGATTACCTCCTACGTTGACCAAGGAGCAGCTTCAGGAACATCTTCAGCCTATGCCTGAGCATGATTATTTTGAGTTTTTTTCTAATGATACTAGGTAAAATATATAAATAAAAGAGGGAGGGGGTAAATGAAAAAGGTTTCTTCCTTGTTTTTTAACCTACTAATGTTTTCCATTTGATTTTTGGGCCTATCTTTTTAATATATGCATTCTTGTAATTCAGCCAACACCTGCAAACACATTTACATCATTGCTTTCCTCTTTGCAGTCTGTATCCTCATATGTATGCCAGAGCATACATCAACTTTAAAAACCAGGAGGACATTATTTTGTTCAGGGATCGCTTTGATGGTTATGTATTCCTTGACAATAAAGGTGAGTCCTAGTAACTGAAAGGGTTTCTTTGTCATTTGTGTGTTTAAGACAATGCGTGTATCACAGTGTTTTCTCAACGCCTTGATAGCTTTTCTAAAATCATGGGTGATGAAATGTGTAACATTTAGGGTTTGCATTGATAAACCTAATATAATCTTATACATAGATATGTGACTTTTCAGTCCTCTGGTATTTTTATTAACTTGTTATTTCTGTGGTTTGATTAACTGAATGAAATTGACATTTCCTGTGACAGATTGTTTGCCCTGGATTAGAAAATCTGTTGTTTTGACTATTTACTAATTTCAGCACTAATACTGATAAGTGACTCTTTAAAGTTGTGTGACAAGTTTTAAATGTTTACTTCTCATCTTGCTTCAGGGACCAACATTTATTTACTTCAGATCCTTTCAGCCAATAGTTCTGTGTTCGAGTACCATTTAACAGTCTAAGTTGTATATAATTAAAACATCAAACTTAATGATCTCCCACTTTGTATCCAGGAGTCTAGAGGGAAGAAAAACTTCTGCCTTAACTCTTTTTATTTATTTTCTGCTGCTTGCAACATTTAACTGGAGAATGTCTGAGCTGCCATTTGCCATTTTCTTTGGATTTGCAATCATAATGTCTTTCTGTTGAGTTTTGTTTTTTCAGCATTACTTCAAAGTTAGTGAAAAAGAAATCTTTGTCAGGGAATATGCCTATAAAAGTAGAAGGATTGCCACTGTTTGTCCATCTTTTATTAATCCCCACCAACTATCTACTTCTGCCCTCCAACTTTATTCAATAGCAATAATTTCCTAGTGATTTAGCTGGAAATCTGAGTTGTGTTTAACTTTTTCCTCTCCTTTTTATCCCTTACATTTAAACAAGGGCTGTATCTTCTAAATTTGTAATGTCTTGTTCATCTGGTTTTACTAATACTTTCATACTTTATGTCCTTGTCACTTAATGCTTAGCCACTTCTCTAAACTTAACAGGGTTTTCCATTTTTCACATTTCTGTATAATTCAGTCTGTCATATTGCCATGAAATTAATCTTTTTGAAAATAGTGATTTAAGATAACATTTGTGAAAAGTCCAAACTGCTTAGGTTGGTGGCCAGAATCTTTCATTGTCTGGCCTCGCTTCTGTTTTTTTTTTTTTCAGCCTATCTTCCACAATTTCCTTCTGCTTCAGTCTGGTTTATTTGTGTGTGTGTGTGTGTGTGTGTGTGTGTGTAGTTTTTGTGAGTGTGTGTGTGTGTGTGTGTGTGTGTGTGTGTGTGTGTGTGTGTGTGTGTGTGTGTGTGTGTCCGATTCTCCATTCACCAAAATCAAGTTAAGTTGTGCAGCCATCACCACTGTGTCAATCCAGAATGTGTTTATCACTCCAAAAAGAATCTTATATCCATGTGCAGTCATCTCCCATTCCTTCCCCAACCCTCCCCCTGCCCTTGCCCCTGGCCACCACTAATCTACTAACTATGGATTTCCCTATTCTGAACATTTCATATAAACAGAATCATACAATATATGGCCTTTTGTGACTGGCTTATGTAGCATGTTTTCAAGGTTCATCCATGTTATAGCATGTATCATTACCTCATTCCTTTATTTTTATTTGCATTCTAAAAAATTGTGGTAAAATACACAAATAAAATTTACCATTTTAACCATTTTTAAGTGTACAGTTGTGTTGAGTACATTCTCATTGTTGTGCAACCAGTCTTTAGACATTTTTCTTCTTTCAAGATAAACTCTATACCAATTAAACAACTCCCCATTTCCCTTCCCCCATCCTCTGGCAACCGTCATTTTATCATGATATTCCATTGTATATACTACATTTTGTTTATCCATACATCTGTCAAGGGACATTTGGGTTGCTTCCTCCTACTCTTGGCTAGTCTGTACAATGCTTCTATGAGTGTGAGTGTACAAATAATTATTGAAGTCTCTGCTTTCACTTCTTTTGAATATGTACCTAAAAGTAGACTTGCTAGGTCATTATTCTATTTTAAATTTTTTAAGGAACTGTCATACTGTTTTCCATAGAAGCTGCACAATTTTACATCCCATCAGTAATGTGCAAGCGTTCTAATTTCTCCAGGTCCTCACCAACACAATATTTTCTGGATTTTTTCCCTTTAATAATAACTATTCTAATGGGTATAAGGTGATAGCTCTTTGTGATTTTGATTTGCATTTCCCTGATTAGTGAGGTAATATTTTAACGTTTTCATATACTTGAGCACGTGAACATCTATCTTCTTCTGTTTCATAGATTGCCTTTTCACTATGTCGATTGTGTCCTTAGATGCACAGAAGTTTTTAATGTCTAATTTATCCTTTTACTTTTGTTGCCTGTACTTTTGGTGTCCTGGTATATTTTTTTTTAAATAACAGCTTTATTGCAATGTAATTCACATATCATAAAATTCACCCTTTTAAAATGTATGGTTCAGGGTTTTTTAGTGTATTCAGAGTTGTGCAGCTATCATCACATTCAATTTTAGAACACATTCATCACTCCAAAGAGAAACCCCATACCCATTTACCATCACTCTTAATTCTCCCCACCACTATCCCCCAGCTCTAGATAACCACTAAATTGTCTATAGATTTGCTTATTCTAGAGATTTCTGATGTGCTTTTAAATGAAAATTAGCTTATAGATTCCCCCTCATACACATATCAAAATATTACACTTTAGAAGTGGAATTGAAATGAATGTTTTATTTCCCTGCTGTATCTTTTTATCAGTATTGAACTTGGGGCTCCTTTGATAGCATGTTCATTTTAGTTGTGCCAGTGTGATTGATGCCCATTGGGAGACCCTTCTCAGATGACTGCGATCTAAGGAAGCCTAGAGAACGGTGGGTTGGCTCCCTTTTATCCACTTGACATTTTCTTTGTTATAGCAAGTGATATTTTTTTCTAAACAGGTCAGGAATATCCTGCTATAGTAGAATTTGCACCTTTTCAAAAAGCTGCAAAAAAGAAGACTAAGAAAAGAGATACCAAAGTTGGGACTATCGATGATGGTACAGTATAGTTCTAGTTATGTAATGCTATTGCTGTGGGTTTTAAAAAAAATATTACCTTTGTGGGAATTAATTGGACTCCAGTCTTTTAAATAAGAGAACATATTGGATAAAGTTTATAAGAAATATAATTCATTGATGAAAGCTTTGCTTAACTGTTATAATGGAAGTGTATTTCCTATGGAGTTTCCACTCTCTTTGGCTAGTGGCATTTTATTCCTCCACCATTAAGCAATGCTATTGTTGACGATTGTGTAGAAATCACCTTAAGTTTGTTAATTAGAAGACAATGGAAAAAAATCAGATGTTTCAAAGTACAACTCCTTGGGGCCTCTTACCATTTTTATGGTTATTTACTTGACTTTTAGTTTCCATTATTTTTATAAAGAGGATGATTTATCATTGAGAGCTGTGATGGAAAAATATATTTACTTAAATAACTTAATATAAAGTAACTGAAGGTGCCAGTCCTGTTTTCTACACTTTGAATATTCAGTCAGCTGCACACATAGTAATTACATTGAACTGAAATACAGGAACTAAAATCTGGAATAATTGCCACTTACTACCGGTAAACTGGATCCAGATTTTGAGATCTCTGTCACTTATGTTGGGTAAGGGCTTACCTGCAATATTTTATATCAGATCGATATTTTAGAATCATCTAGTTTGATTTTCATTATTTATTACTATAATGGGTATTTTATAAAGAACACAAAAAAGACTCAATGCACTGCTGCTTATTGATTATATTGTAGATTCAGACCTGGGAGACTAACCAAGTGACATGTCCCACACTGCATAGAAACTCCAAATACAAGGAATATAATGACACATGTGTTACCCTGCTTGAGTAACACATGTAGGAGGCATCTAGGAAAGACCTCCAGGAATTACCATCACCTCTGGTGCCACATCTAAGACATCTCCCTAATTTACCTTTTTGGAATATCTGATTTTCATACATTGAGTTTACTTGAAGTGAGGTATACCCATATGAGAATTGGTTATATACATAATACATAAATACATACTACAACTATGTACACAACTATATACACATAACTGTAACAGTTCTCCCATAAATATAACTCTGGATTAGTAGTGACTTAAAAGCAAGCTATGTGTCATCCCTGGAGGTTCTGTTTTTTCCTGAGCCTATGATACACCATACTCCCTTTGTGGGTATCTCTTCTAGGAGTTCTTAGAGTAGTAACCAATAAAATACTAGGTAGTGTATCTTATGAATATAGGTTTATTTTCAGTCTTCCATGAAGTAGAAAATTATCTTCTTGATAAATATCCTAGATAATAATTTCCTGTTTTGTTTAAAATATGCTATACTTTCTGTTTACTTAATTATTTAGATCCAGAATATAGAAAATTTTTGGAAAGTTATGCTGCAGATAATGAGAAAATGACATCTACTCCAGAGACACTACTAGAGGAAATAGAAGCTAAAAATAGAGAATTAATAGGTAAGTGGGCAAAAGGAATTGAGGGCAACAGCTTTTTCATCGGAAGACTTGTCTGACTCCCACTTCTGTCACTTGCTAGCTGTGTGATCATGGGGAAAGCGCTAACTTCTCTGAGACTGTTTCTTCTACTGTAAAGTGCAGATAATACCTGTGTCACAGTATTATGAGAGTATGCGTTGATTAGATGGGGAAAATTCTCTGTGACCTATTTAGTGCCACACAAATGTAGCATAAGTATAAAAAGTTTGAAGATTCATATGGCACCTTTAGATATTGGTAAGCATTTGAAGATCAATTGGTATTTTCTAGTAATAAGCTAGTATTTCTAAAAAAATTTTTTGATGTAAAATACCAAAAAACAAATCTAGTCACTGCAAGACCGAAAACCTCTTGAGAAATTCTAGCTTGGATGTTGGTTCTAATAGTAAGCTGTCACTACTGTATCAGCTCTAAACATAAGCATAGCCTCTGACTCAGGATGTCGACTCCTAGGAATTTACCTGAAGAAAATATATTTTCAAAAGCTAGCTACAAGGCTAGATGACATTGTTCAGAATATTGAAAAATAATTAAATGTTCTTCTAAAAATGGTTTTTTATTAATGGGTACATAGTATAAGTCCATCTCTGATAATTTCCTTAGAATAAACTCCTAGAAGTGAAATTATAGGTAGGAAGGATTAGATAGTTTTACCCCTTCCCCCAGTGTCTTCCCAGTTGGACAAATTTATACTTCCATCTGTAAAATAAGAGAATGTCTTTTGTACTTAATTCTCACCAACACTAGTAATTACACTTTTTAAAAAATGTTTTATTGTTTTGTATTTCTTCAGATTTTAAAAGATATTTTAAACTTGCAGAGAATTAGAAGACTGTAAAATTTCTTTCAAATAATATAGTTGTGAACTTTCTGTTTAAAGGGTATAGTTTTTCCCACCTTGGGTGGTTGGCAGGGAATGTCAGAAAATGGAATCCTTTCTAGGGGTTGACAAGTATTATTAATAATCTGTTTACATTTATGTAGCTAAAAAGACAACCCCACTATTGAGCTTCCTGAAAAACAAGCAGGTAAACCTTTTGTTTTTATAGTTCTCTCAATACTTTTATTTCATTGGTTCACATTCTATAAACGTTTTAAGAACATTGGGATCCTATAGGAGAAATAGCTGCTTCCCCTTACCATTATTCTTTAAAGATTTGGCTCAGTGGCCCTCTCATTTTCTTTGGTTGTTGGACCAAGGAATCACCCTGCAAACCCAGAGAGTCCTTAGCTTCTCCCATAGACACTCTCTTGATTTTCTGAAAGCCTCTGGAAATATAGCAAGGCAGCAGGCTCTGGTCTTTATTTTCTCTCTCACATTCTGAATGGGGTGGGGAGAGTATTAACAAAGTAGAATGCCACTTTGTAGAAAGCAGGAAGGAAAGATGATCCAGTGTAGCGGGTGCCCACCATGCCTTTGGGATTAATTTAAGTTTTTGGTGATATTTATCTGTTTGAAGGCTGATTTTGATGTTTCTTTTTAGAGAATGAGAGAAGAAAAAAGGGAAGAAAGGAGGAGGCGAGAAATAGAAAGAAAAAGACAACGAGAAGAAGAGAGGAGGAAGTGGAAAGAAGAAGAGAAACGAAAAAGGAAAGATATAGAAAAGCTAAAGAAGATAGACAGGGTTCCAGAAAGGGACAGATTAAAGGATGAACCAAAGATTAAGGTATGAAAAATAAAACGGACAGCATGTTGCTGAAAATTGCATGTATCTGTTTCTTTAAATATGCATGTATCTTGTGTTATATAAATATAATTTTTCAGTTTTGTTTTTGTCTGTTTTTTTTGGTGGGGGAGATGAACCAATAGAAATCTTCCCTATAATACTAATGGTACTATTTTTTTTTTTTTAATTTTAAGGTAATTTGAAAGGATTAAGTAGTTTACACATTTCTTCAGTGCACATCTCTATTATTTTTATCATTGAAAATGTTCAATTTTGGGGTGATTATACTTTCAGTTCTTCATAATTAAGGGCTTAGGGCTGGCTGGCATGAATTACAGTTTTTATTCAGCTTTGCCTTCATATTTGATACATGAAGTTGCCTCATCTGTTTGTTTTCCACTGTCTTCAGGTACACAGGTTTCTGTTACAAGCTGTGAATCAGAAAAATGTAAGGACCAAGTACATGATACAGAACACCTAGTATCATGTCACACACACAGGTCTTAGTTAATAAGTCCTTTTGGTGGTGGTGGTAGTGTTATCTATAGAAAACCCCTTCAGACTGACTGGAATCTTCTTAAAAGCTAGCCATTTTAAATTCCGTTTTTTAAAGGAAGCCTGGAGGACTTCCTGATGCTCTGCTGTGTACCCAGAAGCTTCAGCAATATACAGCCAGAGGACAACTGTGCCTAAATAGCTTTCTCTTCTTTTTTATCTGCTTCTCATAACTGTCTGCCTTGTGGAAGTACTAGAGATAATATCCTGCATTCTGTGCTTTACCCTCTCAGATGATTCCCATGTTACCTTCTTGCCTCTACCTGGGAATCTGTGAGCAAAATGATCCCAGCCTTGCTGCTTCCCTTCTGAGGGCATGGCTTGGGCAGCCCTTGCTCCAGTGAAGTTCCTGGGGAATTTCAGAAAAAGAGAAAATCTTACAGAGGTAGAGGTGGTGGCAGGGTCTCCTGTTACCTCCTCAAAATTCAGCAGTTTATGTGGTTCCCCAAGGCTCATTATTGGTGATAAGGGGCTTGGCTGCAGGGTGAGGAAATTCCCAACTTAATTCCTTCTAGCAGTCGTTCTCTGCCATGCTGCAAGTGATTTGACTTGCTATTCCCTAACTGTCAGCAAGGCAGGAGGTAGAGCCAACCATGCTAGAAATATACATTAATGTTCTTATTAGAGTAATGAACATCTTGGCTTCTAACAAATGTTCATTAGAGAAATAAGAACATTTCCAGTGAAGCCTGCACATGGTATCCTCACTTTACACTGGTGCCTTCTTAGTGTCCAGTGTGGACTCCGCATTTGCAGTGGCTGTCTGTGTGCTGAAATAACTTCATGCTTAAATCTTTTGGTGCTTGGCCTTTTGCTTGAGGACTTGTATAATGCCTTCACCCTGAGATGAACCTTTGTATGATGCCTTCATGCTGAGACTTGAAATTCTATTTTGCTTAAGAATCTCTCTGAATATACAACATCGGAGGTATTTTAGAGAGATCTGTAGCAGTGGTGAGAAAAAGAAACTTTTGTTAGAAATTTTGACTTTATAAAGCACTTTTATTTTCGGATTGCTTTCCGTTACATATGAGACATTGAATAGAGTTCCTACTCAGTAGAGATGGAACTTCACTGTTCTGTTGTATGAAGTATTTGGATTTTAAAAAATCAAACCCCAACTAATTCTTGCTATTTATCTCTAATGATAATGATTGGACCATCATAAGTATCTTACTCTCAGGCTCAAGGCAGAATTATTCTTGCAATAGATCACTCCTTTGGTGACTAAGGTAGTTGTCATTCCAAGTGCTACATAAAAACACTCCAACAGTAATGATGTACCTAGCATTTTAAATTTGTGGCATATTTTCCCATCAAGGTAAAGTTAAATATTGACATGCCGTTTTGCTACAGAAGGCATACTTGGAAGTATGCATTGGTTCACTTAAAGGTTAACCCATTTAAAACCAAAGGAGTCTTGATCCTATTGCCACAATGTTTTAAACCACTTCATTTGAGTAGGTAGCATTTTCACATTAATAGCAACCTTTTAGTAAATTGTTGCTCTTGTGTGCTAGTTGTTCACTTGAAAGTTTGAGTACCTGCAGAGATGGGGGCTTTCTGCAGTCAAAATTTAAAAAATTTAGTATATTGTTTCCTTTGATAGACTCAGAAGACAATGTTCCACCCTTCAAAATAAAAATAAATTTGTTCTCTTTAAAGCTGCTTAAGAAGCCAGAAAAGGGAGATGAAAAGGAATTGGACAAAAGAGAAAAGGCCAAGAAATTGGATAAAGAGAATCTGAATGATGAAAGAGCCAGTGGGCAGAGTTGTACATTGCCCAAACGTTCTGATGGTGAACTTAAAGATGAAAAGCCTAAGAGGTTCGTAGGCGAGGCTCTTTGGTACTTTTGTTTTCAAGATGCTAATTTTACTGCTATATCCTGGACTTACATCTGAAGTAAGATAAGCTGTTTACCAGGGGCAGGGGTATGAGAAAGAAACATTTTAATTTTTCTAGTATCTTAATCTGGGTAAATGACTGTCAGTTTTTTTTTTTTTTAATTAATTTTATTTTTATTTTTTATTTTCTGTTGTTTTTCAAAATGCTGGTAGTTTTTACTCTGCTCCAAAAGTGTAGGCTCATTGCAGTGGTCAAATCAGAATTAGAGTGTTCCTGCATTTGTGGTTAGATCTTTGAGGGAACATTCTCAGATTTGTTTTTCATGCAGACCTGAAGATGAAAGTGGCAGAGACTACAGGGAGAGAGAACGAGATTATGAACGTGATCAAGAACGGATTCTTCGGGAAAGAGAGAGACTGAAGCGGCAAGAAGAAGAGCGCCGGAGGCAGAAGGAGCGCTATGAGAAAGAGAAGGCTTTTAAAAGAAAGGAGGATGACATGAAAAGAGAGAAAGAAGCACTTCGGGATAAAGGAAGGAAGACTGAAAGTACAGAAGTAGGCTCAGAAAAAACTGAAAAGAAAGAGGAAGTGGTTAAGAGGGATCGCATAAGAAACAAGGTACTGCTTTTCGTTACACTTGTTGCTTTTCGTTACACTTGTTTCTTTTCATGAGGAATTTTTTTCTTTTCCTGCAAATGTAAAGGACAGGGCTAGCTCATTGTTTATTATAGAATTTAACTATCTGCAATTTTTTTCAGTATTGGATGGGTCCTTTATTTAACTTATTAAAGAAATTTCAAACATATGCAAAAGTAGAGCACAGAATAATACAATGTAGCTATCACTCAGCTTCAACAGTTATCAACTCATGGCCAACTTTTCTGCTCTCCCCCAACTTTACCCCTACTGGAGGATTTTCAAGCAAATCCTGGATGTATAATTTCTTCTTTAAACATGTCTATATTTGAGATCAAGACTCTTTCTTAGTAATATATATAATCCTAATAGCATTTTCACACCCCAAAATAACAATAATTCCTTAACATCCTACCTACTCTGTGGATTTTCCCAGTTGTCTCATATCTTTTTTATTGGCTCTAAACAAGGTCCACAGGTTGTATTTGCTTGAAATGTCTCATTAAATCTCTCCTAATACAATTTCCCCAGCTCTTGTCCTACATTTATGTTGCAGAAACCAATTTATTCTGTAGAGCTAACGGTCCAGATTGGCTAATTACATCACTGTGGTATTATTTAACACATTCCTCTATCTTTTATGTTTCCTCGAAAGCTGACAGTTACATATAGGGCAGGGGTCAGCAATTTTTTTCTAGAAAGGGCCAGATGGTAAACATTTTAGGCTTTGTGTGCCGTATAGTTTCTCTCACAACCACTAAGCTCTATAAGAAGGAGACATAGACAATATGCAAAAAGAATGAGCATGGCCATGTGCCATATTTTACTCACAAAAACAGGTAGCCCCTAACCTAGAGGCCTCAATTTTTGGCAAGAACACTTCATAGGTGGTGATGTACACTTCCTATACATTGTATCGGGAAACCTATAATATCTGGGTATCCTTTTAGTGCAATGTTATGATTAATCAATAGCAATTATATTGCGGTTATATAATAGGATGTCCTTGTTCTTAGGATAAACAAGCTGAAATATTTAGGGTGGAGGGTCATGATGTCTGTAACTTTCAAATGGTTCTGCAAAAATAATGTGTATATATGTGCACGCTAGAGTCAGAAAAAGCACATGACAAAATGTTAAAATTGTTAATCTAAAAGAAAGATATTAGGTATTCATTGTTTAAAATTTACAATATTTCTATAGATTAAAATTTTTTTTAAGATAAAAAGTTGAAATAAAACAACTGATCAGTAGTTTCAAGTACTATAAGCCTGATGCATCTCCTATAAAAATTTTTGTCAGCCTTCCTCCTAATGATTTTGTTTAGATTAATTATTTCATGGGGGGCTTGAAAATGGTGATGTATGAATTCTGCCTTTCCTGTTGTATTTATTATCTGATGTTCTTCTATAAAGAAGAATTTTCCTCATTAGCTCTTTGGTTAGCCTAAAATTCAGTTTACACAGGAAAGGCAAGATAAACATTTGGTCCTTTCCCTTTATTTACTGTATTCAGAGTAAGGAGTTGGTGTCCTAGCAACTTCTAAAGGTCATCATTGAGTTTTTTGTTTAGTCTTTAAGAACTCATAGATTTAGAAATACTTGGTGTATTCCAACTTGTTATTATCAGTTATTATCCTTGTTGATATTTAAATTGTCCCATCTTTGCACAGTGGGAGCCCCATCATCCATTTGTTTAAATACTATGCAGGAATCTCATCTGTTTTAATACTTCATCTTGTGAAAATAGTGAAATATTTTGCTGGAATTGTTCAACTGAGAATAATGCTTTAAGGCTAACTTTTATACATCAGAGAGGAAGGGTAAGAAAGGCTTATGTAATTTTTTGTGAATTCTAAAAAAGGCCTATACGCTTTAGTTTTCCAGGATCATATGTAATTAAACCAAACACATTACTTGAAGTGAGAGCTACATGATTATTACTTTATTGAAGCTTATTTAGGAATCTGAGATCTAAAGTACCACCGAGATAGAGTCTCAAGCTGGGGTTACATTGTTATACTTGAATTAAGAAATAATCATGTTTGTTGTAAGTTACATGGGGGTCTGAGCTCCTAAGTTCAGGGAGGTCTCCACTTAAGACTGAATACTTTGTTATTGTTTTTACTCCTAAGGTTTTCTTATATGGTGGTACATTTATTTTAAAGTCAATTTACTGAGGGGAGAAGAAATAGGCAATGGCTGTGGTTTCTAAGTAAAAAAAAATCAAGCTGATTCAGTTCATCTTGAGATGTTTAAGAAAATTAGGCAGTAGATTTATCAAAAATTTACCCTAGGCATATAAAATAACACTTATGAAATGGTTGTTTTTCTTTGGAGATAGGGGAAAGGAAGTGGGCAGTTAAAAGCAAATTAACCATCAACACTTACTGTCATGTACCATGCCCTCACATTTTTGGTCTTATATGAGTTGTTTTTGGTATATATCAATATATAACTTATGACAATATATAACTTACAACATTAACATTTTGTTTTCCTTTAGGATCGCCCGGCAATGCAGCTTTACCAACCAGGAGCTCGAAGCCGAAATCGACTCTGTGCCCCTGAAGACAGCACCAAGTCCGGAGATTCAGCAATAGAAAAAAAACAGGAAAGTGGTATTAGAAAAGAAGGAGGAGAGGAGTGATAAGTCCAAATGGCTATAGGTGTCCTCCTGACTGTCTAGGCAGCCAAAGAGCATGTATTAAGCAATCCAGAAGTGCCTCCGGGCAAAGGAATAGAGAAAGAAAAGGGGTCGTTGTGCTGGTAGGGTACACTGCAGAGGAGTATGTTTTTTGTCAAAGCAGGAACCTGATTGCAGGTTCACATTGGAAATACAATTTCCTTTTTTATGCAGTTCCTACATATTAACTTTTAAAGTGTCAAAGATTAGGGAGAGGACATGCATTGCAATTTGCAGGTCGGAAATGTCAAGTGAGGACTTCATTAGGTATGACACGAGAAGAAAATAAGGAAGCTGGCTCTAAACTTAAAAAGTTTTGTTAATCCTGGATTGAATTTTCTTAATTTGGGTGGAACAGAGTCACTTCTAAAAGCCTTGTTCAGATCTAGTTATAGTCATTGTTAGTGATTACTGTAGACTTTGTGTAGCATAGCAACAAGCATGTGGTTGTAGTGCAAGTACAGTGAAGGATATAACAAATGTTCACTTAATGCAAAATTTAGTTATGCCATGTCTATATCCTGTGTCCTAAAATTTTAGGATTAGTTTTAGATTTTTGTTTGCTTATGTGAGCTTAGCATAAAGAACATTTTTAAACATCTCCTTTTGTCTTTAGCAATTTTTATATTAATAAGTAAAATTTAACCTTCATTTGGTTCTTGACCATCCAGTCTGTTTTATCTTAGGTCTCATGATCTGAGTGCATGCCCCGTCCAGGAAGGAAACTGCACCAATATTTGTTCCTGTTTAAATAAGCAACTTTCAGTTTTAGTTGTTTTGCATTGGTGTCAATAAATATCAACATCACTCAAATATAAAGCTAAGTGTGTTTATTACTTTACTAACTAGCTATTACTTTTGAGAAATTAAATTTGATACTGAATTAACCTCTTCAGAATTTTGAAAGGGGATGAATGATATTTGTTTCTGCCTTTACTAGCGTTCTGTCTATTTTGCCCACCAAGAAGGTCAAATCATGGTTTTCTACTCTTGTTCCATAAGAAAACCAAAATGTTTGGACAACATCCTCGAGCTGCTGCTTAATTCTAATCCTTCCAGCTCCTCCTAGTGTGGCATCAGTTTGCCTTTACTTAGTCACCACTTTATGTTTTCCTCGGCTTTTAGAAACCAGTATCCCATGAGGCAGATAAAGAGGAAGAGCCATCGAAGATGATTGAAAGAGAATGGTTCTCAACTGAGGAAGAGAGTACTAAAAGAAGGGAAGGGAAATTTTTAAGGAGGAGAATGGCTGGCAGTGTCTCATGCCACAGAGAGGTTAAGGAAAATAAGAAATGTAAAGTGTCCATTGCATTTGGCAGTATTGAGATCATTAGTGAAATGCGGACCCTCTTGGCTGCGGAGGTTAGAGGAGTTGGTCTTAGGAGAAGCAACGGTCTGGAACCATCAGTCATGAGTTGGCATCACTTGCTTCCTTACCTATCCTGGGGCCTGTTGTTAGCCCTCTTAAGGCTGTTTTCGTGTCAGCACCTCTCTTGTTCTACTTGTCTTGCCAATCCAACTCAGTAAACCACGTTTCTGCACCTCCCTTTAAATTTCTTCTACTTGTTTATGTATTCATTAAGCAAACATTTACTAATCACTGACCGTGCCAGGCCCTGGGGGTCAAAGACTCAAACAAGTCCTTGTCCTTAGAAACCAGGGCCCACTGTGGCAAGAGGCAGCTGAAAATAACCATGGACTGGCGTGGGAATCTCCTGCCTAACTAAGCTGCCAAGTGTTGCTGGAGAAAAATCCCTAAACCAGGTCAACTGGTGAGACTACAGGAGGGCCCTCCCTCCTGCTAAGCAATTTTTAAAATCCATCTTGACTTCCTTTTCTACAGTGCTATCTTTCTAGTGTGCTCCCTTGTTCTTTCTTATATCTGGGGTGTGAGGCACTATTGTAGGCTCAGGGAATACAGCAGTGAACAAAACACACAATCCAGGCCTTCATGGAATTTACATTGTAGGGTCAGACGACAAAATGTTAAGATAAGTTCTATGGAGCAAAATTAAGCAGGAGTATGGGTAGGGAATGCTGAGTGGAGGGAAAAGGTTGCAATTTTAGATAAGGTGGTTAGGGAAAGCCTCACTGAGAAGGTGATGTGAATAAAGACCTAAAGAGACTGATGGAGGAAGCTTCCAGGTAGAGGGAATAGCAAATGCCAAGGCCCTGAGATAGGAATGCATTTGGTCAGTGTGGCTGAAGCAAAGTGAATTGAAGGTGAGAGTGGTTGGAGATGAGGTCAGAGGGGCGGGGGTGGAAGAGTCTGTTGGCATTTGCCCTTTGTAGGCCATTGTAGGGACTTGGATCTTTACCCAGAGGAAGATCCTGATCAAGTGGATAAGTGACACAATCAGACTGGTTTTAACAGGATCACTTTGGTTGCTGTGCTCAGAAGATGGTGGTGTCAAGTCAGAAGAGAGAAGAGTTAGGAGGTTTTGTCATAATCCAAGAGAGAGGGTGCAGTGTTGAGGCTAGGGTGGGGAGGTGGGGGGCGGAGTGAGGAGCATTTGGATCCCAGATATATTTTGAAGGGATCCCACAGGATTTGCTATCAGATTGGTATAGGGGTGTAAAAGAAAGAGAAAAATCAATGGTGCGTTTCTATATAAAATGGCTTTAAAACAATTATTCTGCTAAAGAAGTTGCAAATTGTTGGCCTCCAGGATAAAGCTCAGACTCCTGTACCTACCCTAGAAGGCCCTGGATACCTGCTTTTGGCCTCTACACTTTTGCAAATATAGTTCCCTCTTCCTGGAAAGCCACCCCTCCCTCCTTTTCTGTGCCCACTCCTATTCCTCTGTCAGGATTTCCCTCAAGCAGACCTTTCTTTGAAGACCTCCCCACATACCCTCTGCTGCCCAGGCTGGGGGAGGAGTTCCTCTGCTCTCCCAGCATTCCCTGATCCCTCTCAGCACATGAGCCACACTGTGCTGCAAAAGACAGTACAGTCTATCCCATGATTGCACATAGTAAGGGCATTCACCTTGAATGAATGCATGTATCTATCAAATCCTTTCCTCTTTCTCCAAATGCCTTTATTCTCCGCAGGAGACTGCTGAGCCTCGTAATTTCCTGTGCTCTAAGCCATCCGCTGAGTGCCATTTTGGTTTTCTTCTCACCACCTCACAAATTCTTTCTCATATATGACATTTGTTGGAATAACCACCACCACCACCACCACCACCCCCCACCTTTTTATTGCTATAGCAATAGAAGAAGCTCCAGGATTTGACATGAGGGCACCAAGAAGCACCTCATGTCAAATCCTGGAGCTTCTTGTATTGCTATAGAAAGGTGGGGGGTGGTGGTGGTGGTGGTTATTCCAACAAATATATTAATATTTGAAATAAAATGAAAATGAAACGATTCAGATATTTTCCCAAAAAAAAATACAATGCAAGGAGAAATTAGTAACTAATAAAAATTACCTATGGGGAAAATAGTCTATAAGGGAGGGAGAGAAGGGGGAGAGACTGGGATAGCAGCTAGACCTCTTAAATGTTTCATCTCTGGTTTAGTCTGTAGAGCCATACAAATGTGTTTTTAACTTTATGTTGAAATATGACGCCCATACAGAAAAAGACACATACCTAAAGTGTAAAATTAGATGAATTTTCACAAAGGGAGCACACTCATACACCCAGCACCCAGATCAAGATTCTGACTTATAGCACAGATTCGCTTTGCCTGGTTTTGGTCTTTACATAAATAGAATTATACAGTATGCATGCTTTTGTGTCTGGCTTCCTTTGTTCCACATTTTAGTGAGCTTCGTCTATGCCATGTAGTTAATTGTAATTTGTTCATTTTCACTGATGTATAAGAGTGGTTTGCAAACATTTTAGTGTAGGACCCCTTTACACTTCAAAATTATTAAGGACCTCAAAGGGCCTTTGTGTGGATTATACCTATTGATATTTATGGTATTAGAAATTAAATATTTAAAACGCAAGAGCACACAAGCACACATTCTATGTCTGTCAGAGCAACGAAGTCATTACAAGTCATGTAGCCTCTTGAAAACTCCAGGGTACACTCATGAGAGGACGAGAGTGAAAGAAGCAAATTACTTGTATTATAAAAATGCCTTTGACCTCAAAGACCCTCTGAAAGGGTCTTAAGGGCCTGCCAGGGTTCCCTAAGAATTGCTGCCGTATAGCAGCTCTTGGTAAATATACCACAATTTATCCTTTCACCTGGTGATAGATTAGGACAATTTCCAGTCTGGAGCTATTAGAAATAATTCTGTTGTAAGCAATTTAGTATATACTTTTTGATGCATATTCATTCACCTTTCTGTTGGAGAAACACATAGGAGAGGAAATGTAGGGTCATATTGGATACAAATGGAACCATGTAAAATATTTACATAATTAAAAACTTAAATTTACAAAAAATATTCTCTCATCATCTTTTTCCCTTCCCATTATGGGAAATGACTGTTCTCCTTTTCAAGGCAGACTCTCCTCCTGATGCCCTTCAGGCCCACCCCATGTCCTCTGAGACCCCCACACTACCCATTATACCTTGGTTTTCTTGCATTTTTATTCTCTCTCCTTCCTTTCATCTCCATGACCAGCTTTTGAGCTCACCACCCTCTCACTGCCCTCCTTTTTTCTCCTTCCCTTCATACCCAAACATCCTAAAATGTCTCCCTTCAAGCCCTGC